CCTAGACTTTGTCATCCAAGACAATTGTCTTATTTTGATCCTCTTCAAAAGATGGTTTATAATCAGCTATAGGACTTTGACAGGTGCTCTTAAGTACACATTTCTAATAACTTTGGGATATTGTAACATTAGAGTAGAAGAAAAAACTTTCAGGACTCTCATGGAGAGCTGAAATGTTCATGAATATCAAGCAGAAACAGGAGTTAATTGCATAGACTGAACAATAGAGACGAAGTAATCTTTTTGACTTTTTTGCTTAAAACATTGCTGATACTTTGTTTTGTTTTTCAGAGCCAGAAAACTTTCAAGCTACTTACAGCTTTTAACAATTGAGTAAAGTCTATTCCTGTAAACAAAATTTGGAGCATATTTATTTATCTCTACCTGATTTCTCCAGAATTGGAAATTATTTGCGAGCATTCTTAACTTATGGCAATATAGTTATTTGCATAAGTGCAATAAGTATCTGTTTTCTTTTGTAATAGGACACAATTGGAGACACTGGTTACCTTACCAAGGTTTTGACTGGAATGGCATGCTTCTTTAAGGAATCAAATTGGACTTACAAAGCCAATAAAAAGCCTCTTGGGAAACTGCCCTCACCTCATACTTGTCTATATAGTACCTGTATAGAGTTCCGGACTTGTGATAAGTAAAGAATGTCGTTTTGACAGGGCCCAGGAGCCCCAGATTATCTTGTGACTTCAAGAGAAGAGGAACTTACCCAACTCATAGGTATTTGACAGCACAACCCCATAGCTGGGTTGGGCTTTTAAAAAAAGTCTTATCTAAGATTTCTTTTGATGGAATAAAAGTTCCATCAAAACCAATTAAAATAAGCCTATGTGGCAAATAATTCTTCTTGCTGCACTTTATACAAATAATCAGGCCAAGTATAATAAGGCAAATCGGTTTACCATAATTTGTATTTAGTAAAAATGGGAGACTGAAGAGAGAAAAACTATGTTTCAAGAACTATGGTACAATTGTTATTAGATTCTAACCTCATCAGTTCTTTTGAGAATTTTTTTCCCCTGAAATTTAGACTGACTGCTTATTCCTGTGAACCAATCAGTGATCTCTGGCTGCTGCTCAAATGAAACAAGGGGGATGGATAATGTAAAAATCTAGATCAATATTCTAATTCTGGGCATATACTGGAATCAGGTAGTGACACTATATCAGCTTGGTTTCAAATTGCCCAGTTCATGGAAAGCTTTTTTATCTAGTTTACTTGGGATAATTTTGCTTATTTTGCTTTACTGTTGTGGAATATATTGCTGCTGTACTCTCCATGTAAGAATTCAGGATAAGTTTACTCAATGTTATCTTAAAGCAAACACTTATTAATCTTCCAGATATCGCCTTTTGTCAGAGTTATGGATGGCCCTCACCATACTGATGCTTTCTGACTGAGCTCCTCTCTACCCCAAATATAAGAGATCCTAGTAGTTAGGCAGGAATATCATCACCCCTATTCAGCCTGAAGAAGCTACAGATGGATCTTTGTCCCTCTACAATGCTTAGCATTAAGGGTTCTCTTATAAAAGGGAGGTGGGAAATATATCAGAGGCGTTTGAACCAGAGCAATTCCATCTTGAATAGGGGCTAGGTAAAATAAGGCTGAGACTTACTGAGCTGCATTCCTAGGAGGTTAGGCATTCTAAGCCACAGGATGAGACAGGAGGTCAGCACAAGGTACAGATCATAAAGATGTGATAAACAAGCTGGTCAAATTGCATCAAAACCAATGTGGCCAAGAAAGTGACCTCTGGTCGTCCTCAGCACTCATTATATGCTAATTATAATGCATTAGTATGCTAAAAGACACTCCCATCAGCACCATGACAGTTTGCAAATGCGAAGGCAATGTCAGGAGGTAATCCTATATGGTCTGGAAAGGGGAGGAGCCCTCAGTCCTGGAAATTGCCCACCCCTTTCCCAGAAAACTCATAAATAATCCACCCCTTGTTTAATATATAATCAAGAAATAACTATCCTTGGTGGAGCAGCCTAAGCTGCTGCTCTGCCTAAGGAGTAGCCATTCTTTATTCCTTTACTTTCCTAATAAACTTGGTTTTCACTTAAAAGAAAAATAAGTGGCCGGGTGCAGTGGCTCACTCCTGTAATCCCAGCACTTTGGGAGGCCGAGGTTGGGAGTTCACCTCGGCCTCCCAAAGTGGCCTCCCTCAGTGGATCACCTGAGGTTGGGAGTTCAAGACTAGCCTGATCAACACAGTAAAACCCCGTCTCTACTAACAATACAAAATTATCTGGGTGTGGCAGTGTGCAGCCTGTAGTCCCAGCTACTTGGGAGGCTGAGGCAGGAGAATTGCTTGAACTCGGGAGGCGGAGGTTGCAGTGAGCCCAGATCGCGCCACTGCACTCCAGCCTGGGCAGCAGAGCAAGCCTCCATCTCAAAAAAAAAAAAGGAGAAAACCACTAAATTTGTGGTTATTAGTTTCACAGTGATAGAAAATGAATACAGCAAGAAATACCATGTTTTTATTTCATTTAAATCAAATCTTATACAATGCTGAATCCTCATACTGCAGGCCTGGCACGATATTCAATCCCTTACACTACTGAGGCCCTTTCCTCTTCCAGTAACAGGATCTCCTTTTCCCAGGATGGTCCTTTTCCCAGGCATGGTCCTAAGATTGTCCTCAGTCTTTACTACCCAAACTCCCCTGAGGCAAAGGAGCATAAAAGTCTGGTTTTCTACCTGAAGTTCGGAGACAACCAAAACATACATTAACATCTCAGTACATTATCTTGACACTAGTAAGTTGGCTGTATCCCATAAAGGGTATCTTACTTCCCTTTCTGGTGTCTTGGCACTTCCCAGAAGCTGAGTCACTGATGGTCTGATACCTGGGTCTGCCCCAAGGTGGTAACCTCACCTGCAAGTTTCCTCAGGCCTCTGAAGGTCATTGTTCACAAACCTGGATATTGGGTGAATTTCTTGCTTCCCATAGAGAAAAATGACCCTCCTTTCTCAATTCTGTGTCCTGCCTGGATGGAAGCTTTCTTTGATTCTACCATGGACTTGCAGGGGATTTTCTTCATAAGGAGCAGAGATGGAGCAGGAGACCATTTAGGTCTTTGGCAATATTCTATGTAAGAGATGATGGGGGCTTGAACTAGGGCAGAAGTAGTAGGCAAGATAAATGTTTGGATTTTGAATACTTTGAAGGGTAAAGCCAATAATCTGATATGGGGTGTTAAAAAGGAAGCCCAAAATAATTAGGCTCACATCAACCTAAAAGGAAGGAGCAGAGGCAAAATTAATATGGAGAGTTTATTTGGGCCAAGGTTGAGGACTGCAGCCTAGGACATATTTCCAGGTTGCCGTGGAGAGTGCTGTGGAGAAACAAATGGGCTGGAGTTTTTAAAGAAAAGAGAATGAATCAGCAGAGGGGGGCATTACAAAAGTTATTTCTCAGGAAATGTCATTTACTTGCAAAAATAACATTGGTTAGTGATTGGCTATACATGTGGTTGAACTATAGGGTATATGGCATTTTATGGCTACTTGGTGTCAGTCTAGGACTTGCATAGCAAGTGGCTTCAAGAGCTAATTATTTAGCTCAAGGGAGAGTGAGACATGACTGCTTGCATTCCTTAGATAAAAAGTTTTTTTTTCCTTATCATCTGTCATCTCACACCACACAACTGGGAGTCGAGGGACCTTACATGACTTGAGCACATTTCGCCTCTTGAAATTAAAGATGAGCAGCTTCCTTTCGTTTAAAGATAAGTCACATGAGAATTTAATTTTGGCAGTTAAAGAATTGGTTCCCCAACCTAAATCTGCAGCCAAGATGAATTTTCTGATTCACCTCCTTCCCTACAGTTTCTGGGTTTTGTTTATCCTCCAATTCCAAATGGCATAATTGCTTTCTTTCTCCCACTCTACACCCATCACCAGCCGGGTGTTTCAGCTTTTTCTCTCTCTCAAATAGGATGCTCCAAAGGAAAAGAGAGGTGCTATTTCTGAGGGAAAAGAATGTAGGATAGTTGAAAACAACAGCACGGTATTTTCTTCACAAACTTGATTTTAAGATGACTGAAAAATCTAAAAGTGAAATAAACATTTTAAGAAATACAGTATTTGCTCTATTACTCTGTGTTGTCTACTTTGCTTCACATTTAAGCTATTACAACTATAGAGTTAAGACAATTGTGATTCCTAAACTTAATTCACATGATTGATGACAACCAAGCTTAATTCTCTGTTTAAATGTTGTGTACTGCTGGAAGTAACACAAAGCATTAATAAATAAAAGGAATTCGACACCCATCTTGGGTAAAAAGCATTTCTGCCTTCATTCTAACATATATTTCATTTTGGCTTTTAAAAAACAGCTACTGTGCTATACTGCCGTATCCGGTAGTTGTAAATACTGGGCAATGTTACCTTTCTAGGGCTTGTTTCCTCATACATAAAACCTATTGGTACCCCAGGCCAGCTCTCCTATTGCTTCCTGATCCGGGACAATCTAAAAACCTAATTTAAGAAATATTTGGTGTCCAGTGTAAAATAGTGTGCTTGATGTCTTATTAGCACAAGCCATAGGAGAGCAGGAAATTCATATAATGAAACGGACCAGCTGTGAGTAGTTTCCAGTGGATATAACCTCTCCTTTGTTGGCCTTTAAATAATAAGTACATCAGCTGCTGCAACTGCGATGCATGCACTGTGGAAATCCTGCATATTCTTAAACTGCCATCCCAAGGCAGAAAATGCATAATTCCTTTTTATTTTGACTTTTAAAGGGGTTAAATTCGGGCGTGGTACTGGGGTGCTCTCGGGGAGGTTTCCCTTACCTCTCCCGGTGAGGCTACTTAACCTCACCAGCACTCCAACGCTGCCCACACTTTCCTACCCGGTCCCAATGGGCACGGGCCAATCGGCTCGTTCCTTCCCAGCGGCAGGGTGGAACCTCGAGCCTGGACTTCGGAGACCCGCCCCCTGTACGTGGCGTGCGTGCATGGCGATACGCAACGCGGGCCGGTTTCTCCAGCGTGTGGCGCCCCCTGGTGGTAGCCGGGCTTCGATGCCACGGCCTGACCGGAGTGTCCGCCATGGAGTCGCAGAAAGAGGCGCGAATACTCCAAGAGCCCGTGGCGCGGCCTCCTGGGGCCTCAAGGTCTCAGACGCCGAACGCCAAAGAGCGGCAGGAGGGCGGCCCAGTGCCGGCGGCGGCTGCCCTGGGTGCAGAGGCGGACGACGACAGTGCGGACCGGCTGTGGGAGCTGCCGGTGGAGCCAGCCAAACGGAGGCCCGAATGCAGCCGCTGCAGGTGACCGCGGGGCCGGGGGCGGGGACTGCAGCTGGCAGCGGCCTTTGGAGGAGGCTGCGGCGCCCCCTGCCGGGGTATCGGCGGCTCGGGCAGCTCTGCGCTTAGGTTGGCGGAGTTGGCGGGTGCACGTTGGAAATCTCGGAAATGCCGGGCACAGCTACCTAGTAAGAAGCCCTTTTTCCAGGTTCATGATTATTTAACCTTACTTCCTGCAATATATTGAGCGTGTCATGGAATGAGCAGACATCATTTCTGTTTCCAAGAAACTTAAGCGTCCTATAGGGAAATAAGGGGTGATGACAATAATACTTGTAGTATAGTTACACAGTCATACTTAAGTGGCATAGTCGTATCACAGTTAAAACACATAAAGTGGATTGAAGGAGAGAGACAGTCTCCTTTGCCTATCCTACCAGAACTCTAAATATAGGGCCTTTTCAGGTCTTCATTCTAGGCTCTCTTCTAACGCTACAGACGTCCCACTGGTAATTTTTAAAATCAGTTTTCATGGTAATTTATCATCTATATCCCAATGTGTCTCAGACCTTTATTCTGAGCACCAGATCTGTGCATTAATTTATCAGGTGTTTATTGAGTGCTTTGATAATCACTGACAATGCAATGGAGTCCGTGTCTTTATGTATTATTCTCTTACTGAATACGGATAATAAACCAGCAAACAAGCTATCCAATATGTAATTACAAACTGGGAAAAAAACAATGAAGGAAAGGAATGGGATGCTCTTATAAAAAATAGCTAGATCGTGTCGTGAACTATCTCTGAGATTTGAAAGATGAGAAGATTCCAGCCTGGGGAAAAGCATTCCAAGAAGGGGAACAGAAGGACTGAATATGGTTGAAGGTCTTTACTGCTTGAGTACTTGGAGTTTGTTACTTTGGACATTTTGACCTTTTCCTAGGGCTCTATTGTAAGACTTAAGAGGAAAGGATCTTAAATATAGAATGTTTTTATATTTTCTAAGTATACTATGTATAGTTGACCTCTGAGGAGGATGGAAAATTTGTGATTAGAAGGCACTGTGAATTTGAACATAGGGGTTTGTGAATGTAATTAATTTAAACAAGTTGTCTCAGGGGGTTATGGGAAACATTTAAAAGTGTTTGGAGGAGTCTCAATAGGATACTGAAAGAAAAGTGTTTCAAATATAAATCAAAGGCTAAATTACTGTGCTAGCTGTATTATGTAGTTTTTAGTCTGTTCAGAATTGTTAATTATAAATATATAGTTAAAAATCTGTTTAGCAGAGATTTATTTTATGATGCTTTCTAAAAAATAAAAATGACTTGCTGAATTTTGTCTTTTTTTCAGTTACATTTAGTTAATACCTTAGGATTACAATTTTTCCCAACATTTCTGCACTTCGCTTATTTCTGGTGAAATTTGCTACCTGTGAAAAGCTCTCCTCCCTCTTGGCATGCTATGCATTTTATTTGCTTTAATTAGGTAGAATATAATTCTAGAATTATGGAGAATATTTAGGTGTTGTCAATAAGACAGAAATGAATTGATGGCTTTTTATATTTTATTTCATTAGGTTATTAGAGTTCTACTAGTACCCTGCGTGAACTTCTTTACATTTATGCTTAAAATAGTTTTAAAAATGCATTCTTAGATTTGATTGATCATTGAGTCACAGTTATTTGACTATTTACTTAAACTATATTCATTTCTCTGAACACATTACTACAAATGTCATAGCCTAAGGGAGTTGCAGAAATTAGGTTTGTTCAGGAAGTGCAAACTCAGCAGAATCTTGCTTGTTAGAAATATAACATATCTTCAATATGAATGGAATATTCTTTAAAAGATCCCAAACTTGTAGTTTATTATTGCAGGATATAGGTTCTATAAATGTATTCTGTCCTCTATGTATATCTTGTTTACAAAACCTGCCTGTATTCCATTTACCTCTTAGAATACCTTTCCTATCCCCCATTCCTGAACATATAACATTATTTTTTTTTCAGATAAAGACAAAGCCTTGGTTGATCTCCCCAGAGTATGTATCATTAGCGTTATTTGAGATAAAATAAGAAGGATGAGGGTCATGGGACATAGTAGGTGCACAAAAGATTTGTTGAACTACTTGGTAAAATTCAGTTGTTCAACAAATATTTTTGGAGACCCTACTTCCATACAGTGTGATAGACTATGAAATACAAAGATGAAAAAGAGATGACTTCAGTTCTCCTGTAGATCAGGACCTAGTGGAAAGTGGCATATCTATTTAAATGGGGAGCCCTCAGATTAAAAATCCGATGGTGTAGGGCAGCTTTTTCAAATTATAGGTAATGAACCACAGTGAAACTTTTGTTATATGCATCCTTGTACGTAGTAGAGAATGTATTCAAAAAGAGTTTGACAAACATCAAATTTTTGAGGCGCTGAAGAAAACAGCAAAAAGTGTTTTCTGAATTTTTCAAAGTAAAAGCATTTGTAAAATAACTTTGTTCAGGTTAAAATCATTTTGCTAATTTAAACATCTTATTTAAATTATATGACCTCAGATTGGAAAGATTTAAACACTTTTTATATGTGTTTGATATCCTTCGGCAGTCTTCGAAATTAGGCTGTCATGGAGTAAGAGTCAAAAGACGAAAGGGTGCATGTTCACCAAGTAGTGCTTCTGAGATTTTACTAGAGTCTTTAATTTTGTTAGGAAATAAAATGTAATGTTCGTGTGTATATGTATGTATATATGTGTATATATGTAAAATGCACGTAAGCGTGTGGTCTTTTTCTTGTTGAATTCTACACTATCAGCTTCTTTCTTAGATGTGTATATGTGAGGTGTTATAGGAACATATAAAAAGGTGCTACTAACCCTAAGTTTGTGTGGTGGAGATGAGGAAAAGATCTGGGAAATCTTAGAAGTGACATGTAAGCTGAGACTGAAGGACATAACAAAATATTTAACCTGGATTCTAATATTTAGGATTAATTAGGGAAGAGACTGGCTGGGGGAGGGCTTGAGGGAGGAAAAAGTGAGCTCTGGTTGAGGGAACAGTATGTATGAGAGTTTAGGGCATAGAATGTATAGTGTATTTGGAGAGTTTGGGAGAAGGGATGGAGTGGTGAAAGACAAGGCTGCAGAGATTAGTAGTGGTTGCCTCAGAAAGGGCAAAATAAACTATGTCAGGGAGTTTGGGCCTAATACTCTATAACCCAACAAGCCAGCCACAGTAATATTTTTATATTTGAAAGGTGGTGACAAGTTTGACTTTTGTAGGTGACTTTTGCTGTATAATTTATACTTTTTCATTTTATAAAAAAAGCAACTGGATGGTGATAAAAGGATACAAGCTTGACTGGGAAGAATTAGGGCCTCATTCCAGAAATATTTTAGGCATCTTAATTGTACTTTTGTATCTTCTGCAGATACTGCTATGCATTTGAGGATGAGTCATAAACGACTTGCAAATCATTGGTCATAGGAATAATAGAATAATGTCTAAAAACAGTGTGTTTTAAATCCCGTTTAAGGGAAGAAACAGCAGGGAGAGCATGCACACAAACTGAATCAGATAGACCCTGAGATGGAAGTTTTTGTGTCTCGAGTGTTTTCTTTTCAAAAGTAACAAGCTGTAAGAATTATAATAAACCATTTCTACATATTTAACACCCTTTTACTAAACACCAGCCATCTACCAGGCACATACTAGGCCTAGGTATTTTATATATGATAATATTTTATTTAGTTCTTGTTTAGATTGCTGCTGCTTTTTTTTTTTTTTGAAACAGAGTCTTGCTCTGTCACCCAGGGTGGATTGCAGTGGTGCAATCTCGGCTCACTGTAACCTCCACCTCCCAGGTTCAAGCCATTCTCCTGCCTCAGCCTCTGGAGTAGCTGGGACTACAGGTGCCCGCCACCATGCCTGGCTAAGTTTTTTTTTTTAAGACAGAGTTTTGCTCTTGTTTCCCAGACTGCACTGCAATGGCGTGATCTCAGCTCACTGTAACCCCTGTCTCCCAGGTTCAAGCGATTCTCCTGCCTCAGCCTCCTGAGTAGCTGGGATTGCAGGCATGCACCACCATGCCTGACTAATTTTGTATTTTTAGTAGAGATGGGGTTTTTCCATGTTGGTCAGGCTGGTCTCGAACTTCTGACCTCAGGTGACCCGCCTGCCTTGGCCTCTCAAAGTGCTGGTATTACAGGCGTAAGCCACCGCGCCCAGCCTAGGTTTTGTATTTTTAGTAGAAGCAGGGTTTCCGCCCTGTTGGTCAGGCTGGTATCAAACTCCTGACCTCAGGTCATCAGCCTGCCTTAGCTTCCCAAAGTACTGGGATTATAGGTGAGAGCCACTGTGCCTGGCTACTATTTGCTTTTAAATGATGAGGAAATAGAGGTAACAGGCAAGTAGCAGAATTGGGTCTCTAGCTCCAGTCCACTTGGCTCCCTAGCTCATACAAGTACTTGATCTCACTCCAGGCTCCTTGCTGAAGAAGCATTAAGATTTTGTTTGTACAGTAGGTATTGTCACCAGTTGAAATGGCATCACTAACACTGCAAGATTTTCAGGCTTTTTAAGTTAGTAACAGGATGCTGAGTTTTAGTTTTTTCTCTGGCTTTTTAATTCCACATGTCATAACCTTTTCCTTATTCTTTAGGCTTGGATATTCTGGAGGAAAAAGTGATGGGGGGAACATCATAAGAGAGAAAGATAAAGTCAGGGAAGGAGAGAGAGAAGGGAAGACTGCAGGTGTTTAAGAAGAATGCACGAGCCACAAACTGGCAGTCTACAGATGTTTTGCTTTGAACTGTGTTTTATCAGCTTTTAAATTAGTTGCTAATAGTTCAAAATCAAGATGTTTTATATAAAAATTCAGATTTCTGGCTTTTGTTGACAGTGGAAAGATCTGACAGCTTCAGAGACCACCTTCCTGAACAGTATTTGGTTAAGCTCAGTATTATTGGCTGTGCCCTTATATTGGGCATGATCTCTCCAGGTCACCATAGCTCGTAGTCATTCCTGCTGAA